ACCTGAAAGTTTTCACTTGTTCTTTGAAAGAAAGCCTTATTTCTTGTAGTAACGGACCTGATACTGCCAAAAACCAAACCCAGATTCTTATTTTAAGAGTGGTTGAATTACAATGCCGAATCAATTGCCAACCTCAAGACCTGTCTGAAGTTAAAGTGAGGGCATCGACTGGGAAGAAATGGAATCCTGGAACTTGGGATGGGGACACATGGACATATAATCAGGAAGCTGGAGACATTGAGCCTAAATTCCGCTGAATCACTCTTGCCAACAGAACCAGCCCTCTCACGCCCATATGAAGAGATTACTCCATGTTTCTCTGATAAACCACTCTCCCAGTAAAACCATCAGCCCTTCCACTCCCATCTAATGAGATTAAACCAGCTGTGTCTAAAGAGCCTTTGTTTTAGTCATTGCCTGGGGCATCACCTGAGGCAGATGCTTTATAAGACAATGCTGTATGTTTTCAAAACACTTCCCCACTATTGATTTTGGCCTCTAGACCTATAACTAGACTTAAGTCCCAGTGAGGCCCAAAAGGTCAAGTACAAAGTGTGACCCAAGAGGAGGTACACTACACTCCAAAAGAACTATTTGACTTTTCTAATATGTACAGACAGAAACCTGCGGAATACATGTGGGAATGGCCATTAAGGGCTTGGGATAATGGTGCAAGGAACTTAAACATGGATCAGTCTGAATTTATTGCTATAGGCCCACTAAGCACAGATTCTTCATTCAATGTTTCAGCTCAAGAAGTTAGGAAAGAATCTAATAGTTTATTTGGTTGGGTCACTGAAGCATGGATTACATGGTGGCCTATGCTAAATCAAGCTGAAGTACCAGATCTGTCTTGGTATACTATAGAAGAAGGTATCCAAAGGCTTAGGGAAACTGGCCTGCTAGAGTGGATTTATCAGGTTAGACCTATAGACCCACACATAGAGTGCCCAGAGAACACACCTTTTACCACAATTGTGAGGAACAAATTTGTAAAGGGAGCCCCAGCATCCTTGAAGACAGCTGTGATTGCCATTTTATGTAAGTCACATTTGACAGTGGGAGCTGCCCTAACTGAACTAAGACACCTAGTTACAATGGGGCTGACAGGACCCCATGGTAGTAGGGGCCAAGTGGCTGCACTCAATCGACAAAGACAAAGTAGGCATGGTTACAGTATTGGACAGCGGAGTTAAAGCAGTAATCAGAATAGTCTGACTCGCATGGACTCATGGCATTGGCTACTTAGTCCTGGTATCCCCAGGAGTGAAACAGATAGAAAATCTACTAAATATTTACTTGATCTGTACAAGTGGATGAATTCTAGGTCAAGTGAACAGCAGTCTAACTCGAATCACCAGAAAAGAGAGTCACAGCCCCTCAATCAGTTCCCAGACTTGAGTGAGTTTAAAGACCCACAACCCCTTGAATGAAGGAAGGCCAGATCCCCTTGAGGAAAGACTCTAACATACTGCCAAACATTTATACTATTAATATTTCCCCCTAGCCTTCCCTAAAAGGACCTAAAGCCTTTTACAAGAGTGTTCATTGGGTAAAAGGAAATAAGCAGACTTTTCGGGGAATCCTGGATAATGGCTCTGAACTGATACTAATTCCAGGAGACCCAAAACATCACTGTGGCCCACCAGTCAGAGTGGAGGCATATGGAGGTCAGGTTATTAATGGAGTCTTCGCTCATGTCTGTCTCACAGTAGGTCCAGTGGGTCCCTGAACCCATCCTGTAGTGGTTTCCCCAGTTCCAGAATGTATAATTGGAATTTATACACTCAGCAACTGGCAGAACCCCCACATTGGATCCCTGACAAATGGAGTAAAGGCTATTATGGTAGGAAAGCCAAGTGGAAGCCATTAGAACTGCCTCTACCTAGGAAAATAGTAAACCAAAAGCAATCCCACACTCCAGGAGGGATTTCAGAGATTACTGTCACCATCAAGGTCTTGAAGGATACAGGGATGGTGATTCCCACCACATCCCCATTCAACTTACCTATTTGGCCTGTTCAAAAAAACAGATGGATCTTGGAGAATGACAGTGGATTATTGAAAACTTAACCATGTGGTGACTCCAATTGCAGCTGCTGTTCCAGGTGTTATTTCATTGCTTGAGCAAATTAATATGTCTCCTGTTAGCTGGTATGCAGCTAATGTCTTTTTCCTCATACCTGTTTTGAAGGACCATCAGAAGTAGTTCACCTTCAGCTGGCAAGGCCAGCAATACACCTTCAGCTGCATACCTCAGAGCTACATCAACTCTCCAGCCCTATGTCATAATTTAGTCCGCAAGGACCCTGATCGTCTTTCCCTTCCATAAGATGTCACGCTGGTCCATTATATTGATGACATTATGCTGATTGGACCTTGTAAGGAAGAAGTGTCAATGATTCTGGACTTATTGGTAAAATATTTGTATGCTAGAGGATGGGAAATTAATCCTACAAAAATACAGGCGCCTTCTACATCAGTGAAATTTCTAGGGTTCCAGTGGTGTGGGGCATGTGAGATATTCCTTCTAAAGTGAAGGATGAGATATTGCATCTGGCTTCTCCCACAACCAAAACGGAGGCACAACACCTGGTGGGCCTCTTTGGATGTTGGAGGTGACGTATTCCTCATTTGGGTGTGCTACTCTGGCCTATTTATCAAGTGACTTGAAAATCTGCTAGTTTTGAGTGGGGACCAGAACAAGAGAAGGCTCTGCAACAGGTTCAGGCTGCTGTGCAAGCCGCTTTGCCACTTTGGCCATATGATCTGGCTGATCCAATGGTGCTTGAAGTGTCAGTGACAGAAAGAGATGCTATTTGGAGTATTTGGCAGGCCCCTCTTGGTGAATCACAGCGCAGACCCTTAGGATTTTGCAGCAAAGCCCTGCCATCCTCTGCAGATAACTACTCTCCTTTTGAGAAACAGCTTTTGGCTTGTTACTGGGCCTTCGTAGAGACTGAATGCTTAACCATGGGACATCAAGTCACCATGTGACCTAAGCTGCCCATCGTGAACTGGGTGTTGTCTGACCCACAGAGTCATAAAGTTAGATGTGCATAGCAGCACTTTATCATTAAATGGAAGTGCTATATATGAGGTCAGGCCTGAGCAGGACCTGAAGGCACAAGTAAGTTGCATGAGGAAGTGGTCCAAATGTCCATGTCTCCACTCCTGTCACATTACTTCTATCTCCTCGTCTGCACCTATGGCCTCATGGAGAATTCCTTATGATCAGTTGACTGAAGACAAGAAAACTCATAGCAGCCCCATAGGACAGAGTAGAACTGCCCTATAGGGTTTCCAAGGAGTAGCTTGGTGGATTCAAACTGCTGACCAATTGGTTAGCAGCCAATCTCTTAACAACTGCAACAGGGCTCCTTTTTCCACCTTACCATCCCCCAAATAATATCCACGTTTACCTCTAATTTCTTTTTGTGAAACAGTCCTTCTAAGTGTGTAAAACTATTGAAGATGTCTTTTCTCAAAATTCAGTATTCTAAAAATGTTTCAAAAATAAAAAGATGCCATTCTCCCTATTAAATTAGCAAAGACTAAAAAGGAAGATAATAATGTTGGAGTGGGTACAGTGAGAAAAGCACTCATATACAATGATAATAGAAATATAAATTAATAAGTATTTCTAAAAAGCAATTTGGCTATATATATAAAAAATTTATTAAAACATTTTGTCTCATTTAAATTTAATCTGCAGACACATTAATTTATAAAAATGTATTCAAAATAGCATTAGTTATGATAGAAGAAACGGAATGGGTAAATAAATTTTGTACATCTGAGAGAATATTATATATAACTAAGTGAAATTTACAAAATTTTGAATGACATGGGAAATTTTCACTATGTAACATAATTGATAAAAGTAGGATATAACATGATATATTTAGTAGAAGTGAAAACATGTCAAATTATATATGTATATAAAATGACTAGAAGTAAATTCAATGAAACAATATCAATTGACATTTTGGAGAATTTGCAATGTAATTCAGTATTTTCTTTTCCTTTCTTATTTTTGTAATTTCCTAATTTTCTACAAAGACAATATAAGAATGTTTAAACTAAAAAACAAACTTTTCAATGTTCTAGATATTACATTTTGATTTTTAAGCAGTGGTTATATGATTTTGGTAAATTTCACAAAAATACAGCATTAGGTGAATCTAGCATTTTAAGTTATTAATACTCTGACATTGTGTTAAAGGATTTTCTAATACAATATATATGTGTATGCGTGTGTGTATATATATATATAAATTTCATCTATTTTGATAAAGCAAATCACCGAATTTTCTTCTAAATCAATTATGCTCATTTTTTATTTAGCATTTTCTAGTATTTCATACTCTCATAAAGTTCTCAAATCAACATCAATTTAATTTAATATCATTAAAATCACACATCCAGGGTGAGAAAAAGTATCAAAATTTAGACAAATAATAGAGTGCTACAAATCCAAAAAACCGTGAAAAAATCACTCTCTCAAATATTTACTTCTAATTAATCAAAGCTGTCAGAAATACAGTTTGCACAAAAGGGGTAGGCTGCGACAAGGAAGAAGACAGTAAAGGAGCTATAATCTACTGTATTTCTATCTTATTACTGCATTAGTATATGCAGGAAAAGAACAGAGTGTTAGAAGAGTATTAAACATAGCACAGTGAATTTCCTTTTGATATAAGAGAAGTTTGGATATTATTACATAATCATCTAGTATTGTATACTGTTCTAACTCATTATGGCATGTTAATTGTGTCTGAAGTCCAGATAATAATCAACAGGTATGTGGTATGTTGCATATTTGTTTTTATGACTCATAAGGGAAGACATATCAAGTTTCAGGGTATTCTTGACACTTCCAGGCTACTTAGGGAAATGGTATTGGTATGAATATCAATCCTACCTTCACTCTTGGGAATCCATATGGCTAAGAAACTTATAGGTACTTAACTGAAATGTGTCTAAAATGACTGGCTTACCTGAAATTTTGACTTGAGACACCACTCCATCTCCTCCATCACTGTGTGCGCGAACCTCTACAACATACTCTCCATCCCTGGGGATTGGGACTTCTATCGAGTGTTTATGAGTTGAATACAGCTTGCCATCATGTTGGCCATCAGGTCTATAGAGTACCTTACAAAGTCCCAAAATATGTATACTTAATAAAGTTGCAATAATGAGCCAATGCCCTAACGCTAAAACCAGATAAAAATGATCACTTCTTTAATAGTCTTAAGAAGCTGTATTTAATAATAATGAGAAATTTTCTTATTTTTACTTCATAGAAATTGTTTTCGTTATATTTTTTAGGGTGATCCAAGATGATGTACTTTAAGCATCTGAATTTTATTATCTGAGATGACTCAAAATAAAGGGAAAGATTTTGTCTTTTTAATCAAAAGGTATAAAACGAGGGCTCTTTGAATAGTTCGAAGTAGTCTAAAGAAATGGTCTCATAATTTTAAGGTTTCTTTTTTTTAACACATTATTCCTAAAACTTAATATCCAATGACGAATGCTATGTGTGTGACATAGAGAATATATGGAAATGATCTTTTCTCATTTTTATTCATTTATACAAGGTAACTCAATACATCAAAGAGTTCACTGTGTGCAGTGCAATACACCCTAATCATTGCCAAACAAAAAAGGAGTCTCTATCTTAAGCACTGAGTATGCTAACAATTCTGTCATTTAGAGCAGTTATTCTATTGGTCTTGTTTACTTGACACAGCATTTTCCTGAAAATATTTTCTTATTTCAAAACTTATCATGGTACTCTGCCTTCTGATTCAGCTATACAGTTAGCAGAAGCAGCTGAACAGGCTTTGCCAAAACAGCAAAACATCAATCATCCTTTGTAACAATGAAGCCTGTGTGGAGAATAATCTAATAATCTTTTATATACCTTATATCCTGTCACTGTTGATTCATTTGATAGTGCAACGACATGATCCCAGGTGATTATGTAGCGTGAACCAGACCTTACTGAACTGATGATTCTTGGAGGCTGGCTAGGAGCTGTGAAAAGCAACAATATGCAATCGACGGTCACCGTATCCAAGCTAAGTTCTGCAAACTTCATTGCATCAGGAGTTACAATTATCATGCTGATGATAATGATGATGACAACCACCACCACCACAACAGTCATCACCACAGTAACAACAGCTATCACTGATGAGTGCTTACTATATGCCAGGCACCGTGCTAAGCACTTTTACCTCTAGGAGCTCCTTTAAGGCACTCAATGGCCCTGTGAAGTAGATAATATAACTATCTTTTATTCTCTTCTCATCATGCTCCTTTTGGGTTTCTTTCCCCACCACACTTCCAAAATTTCTATGTGCAAGGTTACCAATCACCTCCATTTGGCCAAATCAAATGGCCACTTTTATTCTTTTGAAACTGAACATCTTTGTAGCATTCCAGAGTTAACCTTCCTCCCTTCTTGACTATCGCTCTTCCTTAAAATCATAATATCAAAATATCTGGGTTCTTCTCCTACCTCACTGGCTGCTCCTGCTTATTACCTAGCCTTTGCTGGCTTCATGTCCTTCACTAAACTTCTAAATGCTGGGAGGATTTAGGGCTTGATCCTGAGTACCCTTCTCTTTTCTATGAATGCATCTTCCCTAAGTACTTACATCTGTGCCAATGGCTTTAAATACTCACAATTTTATCGCAAACCCTAACCTCTCTTTTAACCTGGGAACATATGTGTCCAACTGCCTGTCTCTAATGTCTAAAGGGCTTCTCAAATGTAATACAATCAAGAGGGAACATTTGTCATTATCCCTAAATCTATTGCTCCATGAGTCTCTCCCATGTTTAGCAAATGGCACCACCAAATCCCCATCTTCTCAAATGAAAATCTAATAATATTCAGTCTTCCATTCTCCTAAACTCCTACATCCAAATTAGCAGCAAGTTGTCAACTCTGCCTGCAGAAAATTTTCCACTTCTCTGTTTCCATTACTATCACCTAGTGCTGGCCACCATCACCTCTCTCCTCGATTACTAAAATAGAGTCCTAATTCCCTTTCTGCTTTCACTCTTGTCCCACCACTATCCATTGTCCACACAGAATCAAGAATGATTAAAAAAAAATTAAATATCACACTTTGCCTTAGGATCTTCTAATGGCTTATCACACTCAGGGAAAATAAACAAACAAAAAACCCCAACTCCTTACCATGACCTTAAAGGCTCTACATATTTTGGCCTCTGCATACTTCTTCCTCTTCATTTCACTATGCCATGACCCCACCTAAAACATATCAAGTTCTTCCTACCTGAAAGCTTCTGCACTAGTTATTCTCTCTGCCTGGGGCAGTCCTCCCCCCAGTCATCACATAGTGAGTCCTTCTTATCATTCATATCCTAGCTCAAATGTCATCTTCTCAAAAAGGTCTTTCCTGACCACTCAACTGGATTCAGCGCTCACCCAAGTCACTTTCTATTGTATCATCTGCTTTATTTACTTTAATTCCCTGTCATCTGATGTGGCCAGGCTTATTTATTTGTCTCCTTTTTTATTTCTGCCTTTTTCCACTAAGTGGTAAACCCCATGAGAAGAGGATCTGGGTCTGACTTGATCCCTTCTGTATTCTCAATACCTAGAACAGTGCTGGGCACATAGCACACCTTTGATTGAATGAATAAGTGAATGAATAAATGAAAAAATGAAGAAAGGACTGAATGCTCCTTTTAAAGATTAGAGAACTGAAATTTAGAAAGGAGAGGTATTTTATCTAATGTCACATATTTAGTAAGTGCCGGAGGCAGATTTCAAACCCATGTCTAACATCAAAGTCTGGCTCCTATCACTATGTACTGTTATCTCATTAAGTTTCTTTTTCCCCAAATGCATATCATAAGTTCTAAAACCCTAATGAAAATCATGTCTTCAAATTCTTCTAAAAGTCTATAGATTCTTGCATACAAATTCTCCTCTTTTATTTCTTTAACTTGGGTTCAAGAAGAAGGAGAGATCAAAGTGGGACCAGAGAAATTAGAATGTCCAGAAAAACCTGATCACGGTATGTGGTCTTGTTATATGGACAATGAGAATATAGGGCAGTAAAAGAGTAAACCTAATGGTATGACTTTTAAGTGGCATTTGCATTGTGGAATGCTGATGGTTTATGAATCAAAGCATAGATAAATGATCAGGATTCTAATTTTCCCATGCAATCCTATGAAAATAATGTTTAAATTAATAAAGATAGAATGGAGACAATTTTCTGATGGCACAAAATTTCAGAGGTTGTACTTACAAAGGGGAGTTCTGTAAACTTACTTCTATAAGGGAATATTAAATGTATGAAGGAATTTTCCACAGTTTTCCTTATTTACAATAACCAACCAAGTAAAAAATAAAAAAAATCTGTGTTACCCAAAAGGTTATAATTGTAAACCTAATGAGGTAACACTGCTAGGTAGTAAATTTCTCTCAAATGTATCTCCATCATGATTGAATCAATTATAATTTTTTGACAAGTCTAAAATCAAAATGTTGAGACTCACGTGCTTTCTTGGTGAAGGTTTCAATCACGTCACTGGGTGGACCACACCCTGCACTGTTGCAGGCCCTGACCTCCACAAAGTACTGGGTGTCTGGCACCAGGTTCTCTAGCCTGGTTGAGTACTCTTGGCTGGTGACTTGAACTCTGTGTGCAGCTGCTTCTTTGTCATGGGCAGCCCAGTACCGAATCTGCAAACATGCAAGTTGTGTAATATTTAGTCATGATTCAAACTCTTCAGTTGTGAAAAATTCTTTGCAATTGACTCTGTAACTGTTGGGGTGGGCTGAGCATCATATTTTCAAATGTTACTTAAGGGAGGAGTGTATCACTAATCTTACACTTTGATCAGTCTTAGAATATGCAAGAAACACATGCAGATCTAGTCAATGATGTCAAAAGCAAATCAGAGACTTAGTTCGTTGCCTGAAATAGTCTCACATTGACGAAAACCAAAAAAAAACTCATTCCCGGGGAGTCGATTCCAACTCATAGCACCCTTATAGGACAGAGGAGAACTGCCCCATGTAGTTTCCAAGGAGCACCTGATGGATTCGACCTGCCAACCTTTTGGATAGCAGCCATAGCACTTAACCACTACGCCACCAGGGTTTCCTAGATTGACCAAAAAAGGGGAAAAAATTAAAAAAACACCATCTAAGATTTCCCTTTAAAATACATAACTAATCCCTGGAAGTATCTGCTACAATAATTTTTATCATTTATTTCCTACTTTATTTCTGTTTACATGATTTCAAACTTATTATAAGCCATTTATAAGGCAGTTTGACAGGAATATAAACTTACTTGACAAAAATAGTTATTATCTGTCCTAGAACATGCCAATGTACAGTATTTTTATGCAAATAATGCATGCTCTAGTTTGCCGACCATGCCTCCTGCCACCTGGAGGTACTTTTGTAAGAGCACGTGTTGCTGTAAAAAAAAAAAAAAATGCATATCGCACTTAAAAAAATACCTAGCGAGGGAGGGCACTGTTGGCGAACAAACCTAGAACAAGGAGGGTGTTATTTGCGTAAAAATAAGTTAATACTTTCTGCTAGTTCATTTGAGAAGTATGTATGTAAACGCATTTCTTTTGAACCTATATACAAGTCTGAAATTGAAGTGTACAAAATAACCTCATTAGTTGCAGAAATTATTTATCCTTAAAATACAATTATGTTTGTATTTTAACCATGTTATAATTAGAAATGATGACATTTGCTAATCAAAGTATAAATTACAGCCTTCCTTGTCTTTTAAAAGTGTGGTAAAAAGCTATAAATAATTCCCATTCTTCAAATACAGGCTACTTTATTGGTCAGAAATCTATAATTATATCTAGGAAATAATAAAAATGAAATAATTGACTGTTTATACATATACTATTATTTTATTATACTATTATACTCTAATATTATACTATTTTTTAGATGTCCTGTCTAGAAAATAATGGGATTTTAATTTCACAATTAACCAAAATTAACACAATCCTGAACTTTTCATTTGCATATATACACTGTAAAATGGAGCCAATGGCTCAAATTCACTTGGCAAAAATGTGATTTATATGTAGAATGAGCACATTTCAGAACAAAGGCTAGTTACTGTTTATTGGTTTCTTGTGCAATATTTTCATTTTGCTTACTAGTGTTCATTTTTCTGATGCCAATAATATATTTTCAAATGGTTTTGATAGAATGTCTTTGGCATTTCTATTATCTAATAAAAAAGATGTCTTCAGAATAGAGGAAGTGGAATTGCACCAACACCTCCAAAGAAAGATCTCAGTTGGCTGAAAAAAGATTTTTGAAGGAAGGAGCCACCTCATGAAGGCATAAGCTTCCCTGTGCTGGACATGTTCAGGTGGTGACTATGTTTATGGGGAAGGAGGAAGATGGCTTACATTTGAGTGGGCATTTGAACTAGATAATATGTAAGGCCTCTTCCACTGTTAACTGAACACAAATTTACATTTTAAATTTAAAAAAAAGTGAGCATTTACACTTTAATGAAGTGTCAGCTCCGGCACTAGGAACGTCCACATACATTATCTTCTCAGCAAACCTATGACTGTAGTATTTACCCCATTTTATAGCATTGGAAACTGAGGTCCATGAGGTTCAGTGAAAGGCATTATAGCCAAGTGAAGAAAAGCCCAGGATACATAATCGTGTGACTCTAGATGTATTAATTTATTCTCTTGGGTCCTCAGTTTTCTCATCTATAAAGGGGATAATAATTATAACAGTACATATTATAGGATTGTTGAGAGAGTTAGAAGCCACACCACATGTAAGGCATCTGACTTGCAATAGTGATAGCTAATTAGGTGATAAAAATGGGATACTATTCCAAGTCATTTTGACCTAAATGCTCAATTTTAATTTGACAAAGGACTGTCTAACTAGAATTACTGTTACTGACAAATGCATAAGTAAAATACATATTATTTGTAAAAACATTTTCCAATTCATAAAAAAAGAAATGAATACTTGAAGGAAAAACTTGTATGTCAAAGTTAGGAAAGCCCTGGTATAAATAAAACTTGGCTTGATATAGTTATACGTCTGGCAAATAAACTTCATACAATTTCAACATAGTAAGATTTCAGTAAAGAATGCAGCAGTACAATCTAATCCAGTGTTAGGCACACAGAGAAAGAGAAAAAAGGAGAAATCTAGAACTTCAACTTTATCTTTAAAACTGATGGCTTAAGGGTGAAGGGTGAGACAGTACACAATACAGGGGAAACTAGCACAACCTGTACAAGAAAAGGTCATGGAAGCCCCATAGACACATCCAAACTCCCT